GTAAAGAGCTTAAAACAACTATAGATTTATTGGAGAAAAAAAAAACCACAAAATTTTGTGGGATCAATTGACCCCAAATGACCCCATATGGGTCCGTCCATGACTAGAGGTAATACTTGCATCCTCAACAATATCGGAAGTATCAACAAATTTGTTGTCCTCTCATATCTGTATCGAGCTTGAGAGACAAGGGATATTAATTATCAACTATTCATACATTAATTAATAATGTGCTTTATATTGTACATAATAGGGTACATGTTAAGAATTGAGCATCAAAAAGACACATATACGTTTAGAATCCAATAAATTTGAAATATCAACGAGCTTCCAATCTTTCATACTTCATCAAGCAGTGGTGTGCTTCGTTGTCTTGAACACAATTTTGTCACCACACACAATTTTCAATTTCCAATTCCTCTAGTGAAGGAAAACAAGTTCACAGTTCTGAGAGGAAAGCATTTTGATTCTATAAAGATGAACAAGCATTAGCAGCCTCAATTTAGGAAATATAATTCAGCTTGTCATTCCTTCTTCAACAATTTCAATCTTTGAAGTAAAGAATATTCATTTATTCTTTTCAAACCTGGATAGGGGAACAGAATGCAAGGGAAAGATCGGCTGAAACAAAGCAGTTGGGGGATTTTGTTAAACATACCATTAAAGTTTTATGCCTAGTGGCTACTGTATGAGGAAATACATTATTATTTGATGAGGATTCAAAGTGTTTCCCCTTTATTTCGAGTAACAAAGAATTAGACATTCATAACGCCATTAGAAAAGAAAATAACTGGTTTCATCTTTAGTATAAGCAGCATAAATAAAATTTTGGGATAACTAAAAAATCTTTATGATACAAATTACTCCAGACAACTGACAGAACAAACATCTTAGAACTAAATCCTGGATTGAAAAGCCAATACATTGCTTCAACCACACCAATTTTGCAAACCTTAGGCTTCTAGGTTCATACCGTCAGGCAAAATTGAATCGACCAGTAGACACAATGACATCTTCCACTCCCAACTACAAGCCCAGAATAGCAATTATGCAATTGGGAAGTTGCCTCAAGCTATCTACGTGAATCATCCATCCATCCAAACACCAAAAACCATTGCCCGTAAATTTTCTGGCTACACCTTCTTCCAGTAGCATTAAATTTAGTTGTTTCTCCTATATCATATGTACCAAACATACCGCTAATATTATAAGGCTAGCTAACAAATTATATGTAAATCCAAATAAAACAGTGATAAACTAATCTTACTAACATAATGACATCAAGCGTCAGTGTTGGGTATTTCTTGATGATAAAGAACTCTAACTGAAAACAATAAATCAAAGTACTCAAATGATAAAACGAAAAACAAGACAAAACAATGAAATTTGTTGACCCAGTTTAGCTAAACGCGGCCTAGTTTGGGGCTCAGAAACTGAACCTGTTTGACTATGCAAATCGCCGTTCAAGAGAACCAAAGTTATATCAAACCACTCAGAATACACAAATTTCGATCAACAGATCTACAAAACCGAACACAAATCCTTCCACAACACTTAGCCCCAATTCCACAGTTTACACAAACCCACCAACAGCCAAAAAGCCAACCCACAAATTACTATAGCAAGGCTGTTATTCAAGGCCTAGTGTAAAAATACAATTACACAAGAAGAATTTAACCAAAGAGAAAAAAGAGATGAAAAATCTCTCCAAGAAGAAGGCTTCAGAGAGAGAAACCAAAACAAGAAAAATGAATTTGAAAACCAACCGTCCAAGTCTCTCTCCCAAGTCAAGTCATTTATCCAATAACCAAGAATCAATCCTAGCCTTTCATTCCATCAGATCATCTCAACTGTCCAAAAGAAGTACAATTTTTGGCACAAGAGACCATTTTGGGAGCTGCCATGTAAGGGCCTCCTCAACCCAAATATCAACTGAGTCAAATTTCAAAAATAGCACTGTTATAAAGTGTTTGAAAAACACACTCTTTTCAGTCAAAATTTTTTTTTTTATATACTTCAAATAATAGAAAGAATGCTTATCACATGAATTCAAATAATTGAAACAATTTGTTAAATAAATTTTTTTCTAGAAGCTCCTCAGTAGATAATGAAAGAGATCATCAGAGGGAAGGAGTAGTCATTATTAATTTGGCAACTATTCATACATTAGTGAATAAATTTGCATTTGTTCTGCTATAAAAATTGTGCTTCAATTGCTCATGGCTGAAAGCACAACAAACAGAGCATTTTAAGTTTTCCGATTATTCATACATCGGTGATTAATGTACAAGCAGTTATACTATGTTTTTTTTCAACTAGATGTTGGTAATAACTTTAAAAAGAGAGAATATTTCTCTATATCTTCAATAGAAGTATACAACTCTATAGATATTTACAGAGATTTGTCTATACATGGTAAACTTAGCTAATCATGGAAAATAAATTAAACAATTAGAGTCTCTAAATATTAGGAAAGAGAGCTACAAATCTTGATTTACTAAATCAACATCCAAAATCTTTTCCTTCTGATATTCCCACTCAAATTTATGATAGTTGTCAACAAGCACAAATTTGCTCACAAGATATGCATGGCGTGCAGAAGTCATTGCCTTAGTAAATAGATTAGCATTCGGATCGTGAGAGACATGAACAAGATGAAGAATTTTATCATGAACTAATTCACGAATATAATGGCAATCAACTTCAATATGTTTAGTCCATTCATGGTGTATTGAATTGGTGGCAATACTAATAGCACTTGTTCCGTGTAATAAAAACAAAATTCATGTTTTGAGTGCATTTGGGACTGTAGCATGTTTTGTGTGCTTGAGAGTTACTTTTTCTTTTGTTAGTTAAAAAACTCCTTGTTTAGCAAAGTAAGTCACTACGTCTGAATTGCTTTTTGGAGTATTTTTAACCATAGTTATCATATCCGACCCCGATCATTGACCTGGACAAATCATCTGGTCATTGGATAGTGGTTCAACTAGTGGGTCATTGCAAGGTCGAATTTTAGTTAAATTCTTTTCTTTCTAAACCGAAGATTAAAATTGAACATATATAATTCTGTTAAATTTATAATTAATACTCCATCAATTGTCATAGTGATCGGGCTTCCCATAATTCTCAAGGTGGGCAAAGGTTTGAATCCTCCCAACTACAAATTTGATATTAAATTTTGCTTTCAACCTATTTGGTAACTAACCGGTTCAATCCAAACCGGATCTAGTTCAAGACAAACCAATCTGGTTCGAAAGGTTCTTGATCTGTTCAATTGATAACGAACAAATTAATGCAAACTGGATCAGGGTTCTCGAGCCGGCCGATTCGATCCGATTTTAATAACTATGATTTCAACATACCTGATTGTCGTGTTGCTTTGCATTGTATAGACTTCTATGACATGACATAATGTACATGTTTCTCTCCAGTTTATGCATTGGTAGTCTTTTATAGAAAACATATTCTGCTATATGTGATCACTTATATTTTGTTTTCAAATAATTAGACAAAAAAGGCTTTCATAACACCATTATGAAGGGAAATAATTGGTCCGGTTTCATAATGAGAATGGGAAGAAGAATGACCAAGATAAATAAATTTTTTTAGGATACAAATTACTACTAACAATTAATAGAACATAAATCTTCGTACCAATAAGTCGCTTCAACTGCACGACTTTCGCACACCTTCGGCTTCAGGTTTTTGATATAGTGTAAAATAATCTAGGTATGATCCAACTAACACTTGGAGGAAAAAATCTCAATAAGGACAATAGAATCTTATCAACATAAAATGTCCGACTTTATGTACCAATTGTGAATGATATATTTTGATCACATCACAAATTGTCTTTCACTATACTTGAACCATTAAGTATACAATTTGTGACATCCTATATGATCATGGAACTTTATATAAATTTTTTTTCAAATTAGAACATACGAATAATTGAATAATAGTTCATAATATTGTTTTACAAAATACTACTCGAAGTGCATCAAACTAACAACAATGGCCTTGTTGAAATTGGCTGAGGCTGTGATGCGCAACGAAGCTCTAACGCTTGGATCTAAAGATTATTTAGCAATGAGGTTAGCAAATGGATCCCAGTGGTTTCCATCCCTGCCATGACTTTGACAGTAATTGTCAAGGGTAGAGGCTTTTGGTGGCAGTATCGGAGGCCATTGCTGAAAGCTTAACTTTCCTTGATTATTGGAGATTCAAATTTTCCCAGCCGTAATCACTGCTCCTCTTTCCTATTTTTTATTAGGCTCAATTATAGCTTTGTTTCAGCGACAAGATAAGAATGGAGCCACGATGTTGTTTGCTCAACATTCTCCTTGATTTTTGTAGATCTATTGACAATATATCTCTACATTTGCCCCGTTTCTCTTTTTCAATTTGTAGCGCTAGAAATTGTTTGTCATGGTTTGTAATTTTTTCTGTTTATCTTCAGATCTATTTTTTTCAGCTACTTTCATGACCAAAATCACCATTTTTTGGAAAACTTTTTCTAGATTTATCCATGATTTTTTAGAAATTCTTTCGATCGGCTTTTCTCACATGATTTTTCTCGTGGTTGCCTTAGTTCTAGATTCACACAAACGACGTTAACTTGTTGATGGTAAAATATTGACCAAAAAATTCCTTTCATCTAACCAGAGTTTCTCCTCCTAAACTCTTTAATCTCATGCTCGAACAAGAGTAGGAGGAGAAAATGTCTATAAGAATCATCCGTCCATCCAGCTCTGCAACTTCTTCCGTTAGCATTGAACTTAGTAGTTTCTTTGAAATTATATATATATTCATTCTGTAACAACATTCTTCTTCAATTGTTCATTTCAGAAAATGAAAGGAATAGAGCATATTAATTTTCCAATTATTCATATATTAATGAATAATCTACAAACAATTATAGCACATATATTCAACTATACGTTGGAAGTATACACCTGCATCCTCAAAATATTGGAGGTATCAACAAATTTATTGTCCTCTCATATCTGTATTGAACCTGAGTAACAGAGAATGTTAATTTATCAATTATTCATACATTAATTTATATTGTGCATCATAGTGTATATAACAACAAAGATATTGTAAATTGGGAATCAAGAAAACATACATACCTTCGGCATCCAAGAAATTTGAAATATCAACATATTTTTCTCCTTCTATCTGTACTTTATCAAGCTTTGGTGCACTTAGTTGTTGTCTTGAACTCAATTTTGTCATCGCAGGGCAATGTATTATTAGCAAATGCTCTAGTGAAGGGAACAGAAGTTCATAGTTCTGAGAGAAAATCGTTTTGAATCTATTAAGATGATAAAGTCTTAGATCGATCAATTTAGGAAACACAATTCTGCTTGTCATTCCTTCTTCTACAATTTCAATGTTTGAAGTGTCGTCTTCTTCTTGTCTTCCAATAATCTCTTCAATTGCTTCACATCTCCAAACTCGAAGAAAATTTAGAGCCACAAGTTTATTGGAAATTAAAGGTGAGAATAAGTATCTTAAGTTGTCACAATTTGCAACTCGAAGTTCTGTCAAATTCTCAAAGATACAAATATCTTTAGGAAAGATCCTTGTGATATGCACTAATTTGGGTAAACTTCTCATGTCCAATGACGTTAGTTGATTAAGTGTCAAAAGCTCCAAGTTAGGCTGTGTAACCTGGAAGAAATTTACTTAATCCTGTCAGATAAAATTATATAAACATAAAACTTCATAAGTTTGAATATCACCTTTAACTCTATAGAATTAATTAAGATTTGATAATTTAAATTGCCAAATTACACCTTCATTTATCTCTTTCTTCAAATGATTTTAGAATTACAACATCTTGTAAAAGTAAATTAAAACCAAACTATTGTGTAGTGCTCTTTTGGAAGGGCAAAATATATATCCCTTTTAAAAAATGTAAAGATCAACCCAAGTTTGATGACGTTTTTGAAATGTGGATGCTGAGAGGCCATCTTTATTTTTTAAAAATATTCTCAAGAAAATAAAAGATTCCCAGGGCCATAATGGGTTCTATGTTTCACTAGTTTGTTTTACAGTAACCATTTATTACATGTAACAAACCAAGCAACTGTGTGTGGTGATAAATAAAACTATTTTTTGGCACTGAGGTTAGAATCATAAACAAATGAAATGCAAAGTTTGGGACCATTTGCATCAATTACAATGCCTTAACAATTAGGAAATTTCAAAGGTTATAAGATTTGTGTTATGAATTAATAGAAATGGAGAATGCTGCCCCATGCGCACTCAACCCCACACACACACCCACAAAAGGAAAAATGTATACCTGTTTGAACATTGGTTGGGACATCTTGTTTGATTCCGATCTCAAGCTCTCAAAATTTCTTAAATTATGAAGGATAATTTCTTGTAGTTTTGGGAATTCAAGCATCTGGGTATCTTCATTTTGTTCTGTATTCATTGAAACAATTTCCTCTAACATCTCACAGTCACAATTACGTAAACATTGAAGATTCACCATGCATAATGCAATTGACTCCACAAATAGGCTTTTAACGGAGGGACACTTTACAATAACAAGAATCATAAAATTGTGTAGTGATGGAGGTTTGATGACACCACTCCCCAAATGTTTAATTCTTGGTATGCCAAGTAGATACATCTCTTGTAATCTATCAAAGGCCCCTCTTTGAAAATTTCCATTCAGATACTCAAAGTCATCTTCATCTACCATATTCTTCCTCTCCATCACTTGTAGAGAATGATCATCAAGATTATTTGTGTCCATTTCTATAGAAAGATGGTCGGTTACCTTATTAATGAGCTAATTGCAGGTAGTGAAAGCATACTCAGGTCAATTATACCGCTCATATCCAATCTCCTTCCGAAATAATAATTTTTTAAGATGGTTTTACTGGCATGCTCTAAGTCAGCTAATACGATATGAAATCTTTCTAGCTTCTCAATGCACAAGACATGCAATATTTGCAACAAAAAAGCAGGATCATGTGTTGATATTTGGAAAGTATTAAGACCAGTCAATAAACTTATCTCCTTAATAATGTACCTTCGTGTTCACAGAATATTTCTTTCAATTTTAAAACCCACCGCAAGTGTACGATTCATTAACAAATAGTAAAATGGATTATGAGTCCAAGTATCGTTCCCACGAGGATTGAATTAGCTCTAATTAGACTAATGTGACCTTAACCGAATCTAATTGAATGAAAATTTGGTTTAAATGTGAAAATCCCTAATTGTGGGAGAAATCCCCAATTTGAAACCCTAATTTCTAAAGAAAACCCTAATTTCGAAATTGGAAGCCCTAATTTCGAAATTTCACTAATTGAATGACTCAAAAACTCAATTAAAATGTAAATACGCAATTTTGGAAGTTAATGTATAGAAATAAATTGAAATGCAATCATTAGGATCTCGAATCCCCAATTGACTATTAAAAACCCTAATTTCACAAATTCAACGAATCGATGGAAAAATGACAATTCAATGTTCCTAAACCTATCCAATATACTCTCTCGATATATATTGAATCTACTCTTGCACACCACCAGCCTATATTTCTATGGATGATGCAAATATACAAGAACGCATGAATTTTTATGAACACCTTATGAATTGCACAAAGCATAGGGGTATATTTCTATCCCCTATCGAACCCTATGTTAATTTATATTATATCGAATCTATTCTCCTTCTTTCGAATGCAAAGAATAAATCATCTAAACTCACATAACATATGGCCAATAATTATGGAAGCAATCAAATCATATAAATCAAACAATTGTCCAACCGAAACTTTATATTGAATTTATGAAATAAAGGAAATTAAATAATCAAAGGTTCATCGATTTCCTAATGAATAAAAACCCTAGCCTATNNNNTTCAATTTGATGATTTTGGGTATTTATATCGCGTCAAAATCAAGTAGGAAAAGAGTTTCAACGAAAACAAAAAACTGCAACGGAGGCCCCCGAAGTATCACTATGCGACCGCATAGAAGGTTTCTATGCGGTCGCATAGACCAATAAATTTCCCCCCAAAATTTCCTGCAACCATCTATGCGACCGCATAGATGGTTACACTATGCGGTCGCATAGACTAACCAACTATGAAGTCTCTACATTTTGGTCCCTGAACTTTCCTTGTTGCTTCTCTTGACTTCTTTCTTCGATTTCTTCATCTTTTCAACAAATGTTACCTCCAATTGATGATTGACACCATCGAATCTCTTGCCACTCATTCGGCTCATCTTTTGAGTATTTGCGCTTTAGTCCTCCAACTTTTAACTGTCTTCATTTCAGTCCCTCTTCGATTCTTTCTTCCTCCACTTGTTTTGCTTTGCCCTTGCGCTCATACTCAGCATGTTTTTACTCTCGTTTTGCATTTAGCTCAACTTCTCAATATTTGCACTTTTGGTCCTCGAACTATCAATTTGTTGCGTTTTGGTCCTTCTTCGGCTCTTTTCTCCTGAATTCCACAATTTCCATTGAATTACCTACAATGCATGAATTTAACTAGATTAAGTCACAATTCAACCATTTTATCCATGTTTAAGTCATGATTGTGAACCAAATCAATGTGTAAAAACATATTTATCAAATCCCCCAAACTTAAACTATTGTTTGTCCTCAAACAATGCAGTGACTCAATGCTAAACAAACATGGCTTAATAGCTTGCCGTGTCTCAGGATTGAAACTTAGCATTAACAATAAAACGATATCAAGAGTGCGAGAATAAAATTAACCTTCACTCATCAAATGCAATACTCAACGTGTGTGTGTGAACTCATGCCAACATATCAAGCTTATGAATGGTTTATTCCCGACCCATAGTGGTCAAATTTATCCTTGCATCACTCGAGAGATACACAACCCCCCAAACTTATTCTTTTCACTCTATTATCTCGGGGTGTGTTCTAAGATTGGGAGTTTAACAACTATAATCCTTACCCTCTCTTAGTTTAGATAGATTTTACCCTTATAAGTACACATATCAATAAGTAGAGACTCTCTTTAATTTAATTGTTTCAACCTTTAGGCTCAAACTAAGCTACTTACCTCGCATCAAGGTTAAAGTTATATCAACCAAATGTCCAACAAGGGCCCTTTTTTTCTCATCTTCTCATTTGCTTTCTATATAACCCGTGTAACGAGTTTTAGGCGATGACTCCCAAACCAGTTGGTCTTAGGGCACCAGGTTTTAAACCCTTGCAGCCTTATTCACCCGAGTTATAAAGGCTCGATAAGATGAATTTTTGTCAACTTCTCATTTTTCTTGCTTTCTATATGACCTCTGTAACGAGCTTTAAGCCGATAATTCCCAAACCAGTTGGTTTTAGGATATCGGGTTTTAAATCCTAACAGACTTACTTGCTCGAGTCATAAAGGCTTTTGAGAGAAGTGATGATTTTTCCATGTTTATTTTATGCCCTTTACTTGTTTTTCTAGACATTTGATCTCAACAACTGTCCTCAACTTAAAGCTTTCACCTATTTCTCAC